AGACCAGTCTATTCCGTGATGTGACACAAGTATCATATCACTGTCACAATAAAAGTCTCTTGTTATATTTACGTATTAGGCAGCAAATTGCTATGCTTTAATTTCGACCATGGTATATAGCTCCGAGCGTTCGGTAACCTGGCCAACTACTGAACGTAAAATTGTCTAGTAAAGCCACAACAAATGTCGGCAACATGATGGAAAGGTTATGCAACTAATTTTTATATAGTTAGTATAATAAATGTTCTGTTATTGTTGGTTTGAATCCTCGACAGCCATATATTAGTTGTTGAAGTTATACTAACCCCACGGAACATTCGTCTCTGAAGCCATATCCCCGCTTCACCGGAATCCACTGAATTCGTTGTCTATATTCCAAGAAGGAACACAACTCTACGAAAGCTGACTGCCATGTGTGAGACAGTGTAGTGTAGGACATGAAACTCCTGACACGCTCAACACACAGCCAGACAAAGACTAGCACTTGCGGAAATAAATGTTGTTTAATGCTTAGACCATGTAGTATTATTGTACACAAAGGGTGCGAGAAAGTAGCTTTGAAATTAAACAAGTTATCTACTAGCATGCTCGCTAGAAAGACACATTTCTGCTCACAAACCTGGATCTGCATGCCAGACAAACAAATAATAAGCCAATAGAGCAGCCTTTGTACAGTATGTGCGGTTAAACGTGGATTTGTTTCTGATGGCTCAACATCTCCAGTGCGGCATATCAAGTCACTCTGATGTCAAGTAACAGCCAGACGTTCTTCATCTTCGCTTTCACCAGCCTTAAACTCCGGCAGAACATTCTTGGTATTCGTCCCCCTCAGACTTTAGTCTTGTTAGAGAACCTAAGTGTTGCATGCACATCCGTTTTTCAGATTTGGCAGACTGGCTCTATTGCCTCACTAGCAGTTGTACTTCGAATGATGCCCACGGTTAGTCTACTGCTACGTTTTACCCCATCTTCACCGTAGATTTTTACCTCCCTCTACACCTCTATTTCACACTTTAATGGGCTCCAGGCTTTGCGGCTCTTTCTAGATCGTAGAGTCAGCCCTGCTATAACCACTCACCCCTTGATACGTCTGGCTGAGTTAATGCTCACTCTAAACTCTGTCGAGTTTAATGGCCATTACTTTAGGCATATCAGCGGCGTCGCTATGGGCACCAAGATGGGGCCTAGTTATGCCTGCCTCTTCGTGGGCCACATCGAGCATCAGATACGTCATACTTATACTGGTAGGCTCCCTGAGCTCTACAGGAGGTATATCGATGATTGCGTCGGTGTTACCGATATGTCCCTACCTGAATTGCAAAACTGCATTCATTGTTTCTCCAACTTTCATCCTAGCATCCGTTGCACTTTCAGCATTTCACTTTCGTCGGTGCATTTTCTGGATTGTACTGTCACCGTGGACTCTAATGGCCACAGCATCTCGGTATACTATGAGCCTACTGATTCCCATCTCCCCCCCCCCCTTTACACATCCTCTCATCCCTCTTCCTGCAAAGACTCCCTTTCTTTCTTCAACTTCTACGTCTCCGCAGACTATGCCAGGAGAACGACTACTTTCACCAAAAGGCTCTAAAAATGATGGACTTCTTCCGGCTCCTAAGGTATCCGGAACATGCCTTATCTGCTGCCTTTCACTGAGCAAGGTCTATCCATCGGGCTGAGACTCTCGTTTCCAAGCCTTAAAATCATTAAAACAGACCATTCTCGTACTTACCTACCACCATCACAACATCCGTGCTAAAAATACTCTCCTGAAGCATGTCCCCATCCTTAGGGCTGGCCCTACTGCCAGCAAGACTTTCTCTGAACTTCCTCTAGTGACCTACAGACAAGACCGTACCCTTAAGGGCATTCTAGTTGAGAGTCGGTTACGTCCGAGTTCCACTACGTATGTGGAACGTGGCATTCGGGAAGCCGTCTATTGCACGAGCTGTAATGTAATTTATGCCATCAACTGCAGGAGATGTGGCATTAAACACATCGTTAAAACGGGTTACCGACTGGCTGGCAGGTTCAGACAACATCTTTGGGACGTGCAGAACGGCGCCTTGTTATCAATACCACTTCATTTCAATTCCCAGGACCACGACATGGAGGTGACAGCCATTAAATCTAGCCACTCCAGCGACAGAGTTCGCAAGTCTCTAGAAATTCGCTTTAAATATACATTGGGAACTCTGGCGCCTAGTGGACTAAACTGGCAACACAGCTTCCTCTAAATCCTAGGAGTCTGAACTGCCTTCACAGTTTCATCTTATCCTTGAGTGACGGCCCCTGGCATATCCCCGGACATGTATATTCCCGGCCCACGAACCTCGCCAGACACATCGTGTCTTGACATCGACCTGGCTGCCACGAGATACGAAGATAAGTGAATTTGTGTAGTATTGTCTAACCTATGTATGTGCTGAAGAGGCTCCATAGCCGCAACGTTCACATTTTGTTTGTGTTTGCTAAATTGTGAAGCTCGCTGATATACGCTTTGTTCGGGTTTATATATAGTTTACTGCTACGGCATGACTATTGGGGAGGCAGTTGATCTGTTCTTGTTTTCTCCCAGCTAGGTAGTACCAGTTTCGTCCTTTTCAGGACGAAATTTTTTGTCATTTGAAGCCCTACTCTGGCTTTTTCCAGGGGCCGCAATATAGGCAGGCCATAAATATGGCCAAATGTCTGAACGCGGTTTCTGGGACCTCTCCACGGCGATCCTCATCCGCATGGTGGCACTTTGTGTCATCGGGTGTTTATCGCTTGTGTGATGTCCTGGTGGGGTAGAAATTCATTCATTCATTCTCCCAGTACCGACACTGGAAGACCCAGAAATTGAAAAGAGAAATAAAACCAACACAGCCAGTCATCAAATCTGTGCTTGTTTAACTTTCTGCTCACACCTGCCTCTTATTTTCGGTGTGAGTTAAGGTACTCTCTGTTTCTTTTGCACTGCAGGTTCCAAAGAGTTGACTTTCTAGCTACACTGTAATCAGGTTTTTCTAAATGTTTGTTTTTATTATTAGCTTTCTATTAGGTTGCTAATGTTTGTCTGGTTAAGTTGCTTGCGCTCGATCTTTATACTATTTCCCGATAAGCTATGACGCTGAAATTTTGCACACACTTGCCTGAGATCAGAGAACTGTCTGGGCAATTACTTGTATCGACTGCAATAAGACACAGACGGTGGAGATATATAGGGCACACTCTGAGACGATAAGAGCAAAGAATTAAACAGCAAGTAATCTGGTAATGATATGGGACACAAAGGTCTGAGACACGGACATCTAATGGAAACACTGAGAAGAACATTATTACGAGAGGTCAAAAATGCTGGGTTGACATCCATGTCAAACATCCAGTGTTGCATATAATAAAATAGAGCGAAGTGGAGGATTCCACTGCGAGTCGTATTTAACGTCTAATGGCACATACAGGATGATAATGTTGACATGATTTTTGTTTTTTAATAGACCTTTGATTTGTAATACTTAATTAGGACTAAAAAGTGGATCAATAAAAAACTGTTTAAACTATTAGCTTTCTAACGAAAGCGTAGGCGTTTACATAACAAATTATATTATTCGAATCACCTGTCATTATAAAGATGATTTAGCATTATTAATACATGCTTTCATTAGTCATGGTTTAAATTTATACATGACTGTTGGTAAAGATAAAATAGCTGACCTCGGTTTTCCAATAAATTATACGATAAGAGATACATACAATATAAATGAGATAAAAGACTCCATTGTTAATATATTATGTTCAACATACCATAGTTTAAATTATTTTATATCTTTTTAGTGCATTTGTTAATTGTATACAATGTAAGTAGTAGAAAGCTAATAGTATAAAAAGTGTTTTTAAATGTTGTTTTTTTAATTGTTGTATACAGTGCTAGCGTCTTTCCTCTTGCATTTGGATCGCTCCGTTTCTCTGTGTGTATCGGGGTTCTATGAGTTGGGGGGGGGGGGGGGGTACCAGTGTCCCCCTAACAAGTATGTCGTAAAGGGCGACTCATTAATGATTTGCTGAAATATGATGTATTAGGCCGAAAGGCGCAGATATTGTAATCTTGCTGTGAACCAAAACATGACATACCCACTTTCCTTGTAAAAGGATAAACACAGTCGAAGCAGATCTCCCACACTGAATCTATATTTTCCTGCTTGAAATCCATCACCTGTACATTATAATGTGGAGCTGGGACGTTGGGATCTAGGATTTGCCCTTTGGATTGCCTTCTAGCTTGCGACTCTTGCTGCAGCCCGGAAAAGTGAGGGGTGGGGGGGGGGGGGGAAAGAAAGACGGGCAGACAATCTACTCTTCCATACAAACTTCCTATTGCGGATCTGTCTTTCAACGGAGTATTGTACCACAGTATACCCGACAATTTAGGGATTAATGGTTACAAGAGGCCGTGAAGATTTGTTAGGCGTGTGAGAATTTAAAAACATGCCAGTTGCTACCTGTTTTTAATCACTTGTACGGTGTAGGGCTTTGAACCTAAGGATTCAGAGCCGTGTGACTAGTGCAGGTTAGGATTGTATTTTACCCCGACCGAAAGAAAATCCATGACTTTACCGAGGATTCGAACCTAGGTCTGCCCGCTTGGAAAATCAGCGTACTGAACTGTTCGGCCAGCCGCCCCTCTTTGGGGATAAATGCACTTTGAAAAGTTAGTTACCACTGTTGCGCTTCACGAATAAAGAGCCAAAGGAAAACAACGAGGCACCTGTGTCGATGGCTTGGCTATATGGTACAATCGGGACAAGAACAGAGATATGATCCGAGGCTCTAATGATCGTGTCACATGACAAAAGGTGACGGCCTCGTTTATCGGCCCGGCACATGAAGATAGTGATGATATTTAATAGAAACCTCTGGCTACATACAAGTTACTTAGGTACTCTGTATTTTCATCATTCAACACTCGAAATAACACACGGTTCAAAAAGCCTTGACATGGTCTGGTGGGTAGAAGTTTAGGCCGAACCAGGAATTGGATCACCTTTGGGTGCTTCAACACTGGAGGCAGTTGTCTTGTCAGAAATGGCGCCACTTGTCGTCTGCCACAAGCCATACAGATTCTCTCTCTTCGGCTCGCTTTTGTGAGATTGTTTAGCCAAGAAGTTTTGTACGTCACTGATGTAGTTTTTTATTTCAACCTCTATCTGCGATGTTTTTATAAACTGTTGAGGAACATGTAACAACAGGAAACGCTTAATTACGACGATAGGAGGTATTCTTTATCACACGAAACAAAAAAATAGAATTAATCAGCATCACATTGTCACAACCACAATCGACAAGTAACCGTTGCGCCTGGAAAACCTTCTTTAGCGCGTGCCATGAATAGACAATGTAATAATTGAAAACAGGAATACACAAAACAACTTGACACAGATGTGAATACAGGAATAAATACTAAATGAGGAGCGGGGGCGGGCGATTGAGGGACCCTTGTAATTATTTGTTATCTGAGAGGGCGTGGGGAAACCATGGGATCCAACATCCTTGTTTAGAATGATGTAATTATTTTGTGCAATTTGTATGTCGTGCGTTATAGACTTTGTCTTAGCGGCAGTGATGTGATATATTATGCATTATTATGTTAGAAATCTCCAGTATGTCGTTTATGACGCATGTTCGTCGTAAATACAAATATGTGCTAATGATTGGTTTGTCGTGTTTGGTATACGTATATGCGATATGTTGCAGTAAGAACCCCCCCCCCCCACCCAATCCCTTCATGTTATGGCTTGTCACGTGTTTAAGACAATATCTTGGTTGTATTCATAGCAATATTTAGTATGTATGACGCCCCTGTGCTGTCAGTTAGCTTTTGCACCTCTTCCTTCGGCTAAAGTTCACTCTTTTAGTATCAGAGGACAGTTTAAATAGTTATAAATCAGCATCGCTTTTGCCATACTATTTTACTGCTGGAATACTTATCTGTTGCGTGTTTCATAACAATAAAAGCAATTTTAAATTGCAAACATTTTATTACTACCATTGTGCCGCCCTGTGCAGCTGCACGTGTCTAAATACGGCCTTGGTTGCAGTGTTGTATGTTCACATACGTGGTTTGTTTATGACATATTGCTTGCTTAAAGGTCGACATGAAACATGCAGCCGCCATCGATAATTACTACTTGCTCTACAATTGTGGAGCTAATTGATTTGATTGATCGTAATTGATTTGTAAAAGATATCAATTTATTCGCACAGGGATATCTCCAAGGGCGAACCAGTCTCTTTCTAGACATAAAGCAGTGAGAATCTCTACACGGCGCATGAACTCAGTCACAGCGATGAGTTGTTGTTGTTTCTTTTTCTTCTTCTTCTTCTTCTTCTTCTTCTTCTTCTTCTTCTTCTTCTTCTTCTTCTTCTTCTTCTTCTTCTTCTTCTTCTTCTTCTTCTTCTTCTTCTTCTTCTTCATTCCTCCTCCTCATTTTTTTCTTCTTCTTCTCTCTACTCCTCCTCCTCCGCGTCTTAGTACCAGTTTGTTTGAAAAAAAAAAAAAAAGTTCTTGTCGCCCTAACCAGCTCCAAAATTGCGCGGCGGTTATGTTGGGACTGCGTTTAATTGACTGAGGTTTCCAATAGTTTTTTTGTCCATTGTGGCGTGTCCATACGCCTGTATTCGTGCCACCTGTCAGCCTTATGTCATTTCCTTGTTGTGTATCTTGTCCAGCCCGCCGTCGCTGAGTGCACCAAGGCACCACCAGTGTCACCATCTCGAAACAGACAAGCCTTCCACATTGCGCCAGAAAACACGGCCCTTTTCAGGTCCCCACATTTAATATATTTTTTGTGCCTTTATGTTTTCGCATCTTGCATGTGCATGTGCGTTTGGCTTTTTTTTGGGGGGGGGGGGCTTTTTTTTTTTTTTTTAGACAAGTTTTCTTCTTGTAAAAAATGGTATAGATGTAGTGGACATGAGTATAGGTACAGTCAATTGATAATGATCCGAAAATTTTTAAAGGACTTATAGTGAGGTCGGAAGTTGTAGATAGATGAGTGGTTTTTAGAGATAGATGAGTGGTTTTTAGAGGCTCCTTTTTAGGTGTCCGGACTCGAGAGTAGGGATGTCGCTGTCCTCTGGTCTGTTTCCCTCTCGGTAGGTAGTTGAGCTGTTCTTGATTGTGTTGTTGTTGCTGGGTTGGTTGGATGAGTGGTTTTTCCAGCATTTGTCCTACTTAGGTATTGCTTCACCAGTTTCTGGGTGTCAGGATCGCTGTTCACATATAGGATCTCGGTTACAGAGAGGGTGGTGTTTTTACTCTGTAGGTGGTTAACTATTGGGCGCCTTTGCTCTTCGTACTTGGAGCATTCCAGTAGGTAGTGGGCTAATGTGTTGTTTTTATTGCATTCGGAACACCTCGGCGTTTTGTACGTTTCCGTCCACTTGCCAAGTCTGAGGTTCCATAATTTGTTAAAAACGGGTATTTTCGTAGGGTCTTTAATCTGGGATGCGAGTCTGGGTTTTCTTAGCAGCTGGAAGTCTGCCCTGCACACCTTGTTGCCATTGTGTGTTCCAGGCCTCTGTGATAAACTTTCTTGTGACTGCACGGCCTTCTGATTTGCCCAGGCCTATGTCTAGGGTGCGGTCGCAGTTGATGCCCTTTTTGGCTGCCATTTCGGCCTTTTCGTTTCCGATTATCCCCTTGTGGGCTGGTATCCAGCCGATTGTGAGTTAGCACCCCTTTTGTTTAAGTTTTGTTGCTGTGGCCAGGATACCCTCTTTAATGTCGGGTCTGCTATTTTTGCAGAGGCTGCTTAATGCTTGAAACGAGGCGTACACGGTACGGGTCTTTGCCGTCGAAGTGGGATTGCGCGGTAATGAACGGAAACGAACACTCAAAAAACTGGGAGAGGTAGCCGAAAGGGCCTCTAGCTGGCTTTGGACGCAACGCAACAACATAGGGGACGGGCCTCGGTGAGCTGGTCCGGGTGTAGTGGAAAAGGGTTTCTCACCCCTTGAAAGTCCATCGTGTCCGAATTGTCTGCCAGTGATCCTCTGCCACCTGCTAATAAAAGTCCAACATGTGTCCGGTAAACCAAACGTAAGCTTGTCGCTCGGTCGTCCAGGTATGCTGACTGCTTTAATTAGGCTGCCGCGACGACTTCTTATCTCACAGTACCTTCTGCAAACACCAAGTCGTCTTGTCCCTATCCGAAAGAAAAACACCATCCGGTAATCTCGTGCAGCATGGTACCAGCCCTGAGCTTCATGAACTCAAGTGGGCCCACCTCCGAAAGCGTCTAGGAATCGTGGACCGAAACGCTCGTTGACGAGGAATATTTCTACTAATGACTGGTAGATCCCTGCTGTACTTGCTCCCTGTGAGTTTATTCCTATTGAACTGCGGCCAGCGAGTCAGTAAGAACGTAGGCTTTTCTGGGCATTGTTTTCAGGGTTAACTCCAGAGCTTTCTGTATCTCTATCAGCTTGGCGGTGCATATGGCGACCCCATCCGTTAATTTGAACTGCTCTGTGATTCTGGCTTTTGGTGAGTAGAGACCGGCACCGACCTTGCCCTTCTCATTAGTACGTTCCACCGTGTAGTCTATGTGCCTGTTCCAGCTCAGTTGTTCATCTAGCTCCATCCCTAGGAATTTGGTGTGCACTCTCCTCTGAATCACTGCCTCCCATTTCAATTCTGTATGCGCTTTCTTCGTATTGTTGTTTCATCTTTCTGTTGTTTCATCTGCGTCTTACTCCTTCTTCTTATTTAAATATGCCCAACGGGTACACGGGTGCTCTTGTGTTCGTCCTTATTCAAGGCTAATAGACGACCCCTTGGTTAACCATTGAGTGCGGTATACGTGGTCAGTCTAATCAGAATTCTAAATAAACAACAGAAAATAGAAGTAAGAAGCTCGAGGAAGGTGAAAGAAAGACACAAGCCAATGTTTAGGCCGTTTCCTTTTCCGTTTGGATTACTTGTCTGTATGATTGTTGTCATTCGTCTTTGTGTTGTTGGGCTGTGGCCTTCAGCCTGTGGTCCATGGAAATTTCCTTCCTGTCCTCCCAGACATAGCGGCTAGTATGGAAACCAAACGAGGTAAACGAAAAGATGTTGTTGCAACGGTTCGTTTCGCAGAAATAAGGCCCTAACCACGTTTATCGTATTGTTCAGCAGATGTCGTCTAACAGATGTAATTATATAACATTATATTGAATAAATAGAACTGTATTTATATTTGTTCTGTCTTAGCAGTCAGTCGGTTCACCATTTCTCATATTTCAATTAAGAGAGTAGCTGGCACCTTATAATGTGGCTTACAGCTAGTCTGCGATATGTGCACCTTTTGACTAATACATCCAAATTCACTGAACCCTTAAACTTTGCGATATGCTTAGTTAAGGATCAGTTGGTCTGCCAACCCTCAAATGAGACCCAAGAACCCACACGTGGAACTCTCAGATTGACAAATGTCACAACGTTACCTACAGTGACAATATTTACCTCTTTCTGCAGGCACTCATCTAGAAGTGGTTTCCGCGATTCCAGAATCGTCGGCGGCACGCCATATCGTATGTTGAAAGAGCTCTTAGCCCGTGTAATCTGGGGAAACTCAGACGTAATGATCGAGGAGGCGTTTCTTGCGGATCTAAGTGTTGGCTCACTGCGTACAAATTCTGCAGCTCCTTTGAGCGGTATTTCTACATGCTCCTCTGTTTGAAACTGTTTTGTTGGGTATGTCTGCTTCATTGAGCTTCGTTCCAAGAGATATATCTGCTGCATCATATTACTTATGAATCGATCGTTCTCTCGGATATAATACCGTCTGCCAATGATTGGTTTTTCTCTGAAACTTGTGGTACTAGAGAATATCGGATCACTTGTGGGTTTTATGCCGAAATCCTGGCGGCTCCGATAACCTTTCGACATAAATCTCAGCGCTTCTAAATTTTCAGATATGTCCGATACAGACTTCGATACATGGGATTCTCTCTTCATGACTTCGTTTAGCACTGGTCCCAGTGTGTACTCTCCTTTGGAGTCGCGGCAGTGAATCATGGTAGCTTTCAGCAAGGCTTGTTTCAGCGAATGGAAATCCTTGTGTTGATCTTGTTTGTACTTGTTCGCCTTTTTCTCCTCAGGTCTCAGTAAAGGTGAGCGAATGTCGCCGTTGGAACGGTAGTGGAATCCGTGGAGTGATCGCCTGTTGACATCTGGCGACAAGGCTCGGAGTAAGGCTTTAGATCCGGCGGCTCGTGGGGATGTGGATCTTTTGGGTTTCAAGTGGTGTAGTTCTGGCAAGGATGAGGTTTTCTCAGATAATGACTTTGTCTGGAAATATACATTTGATTTTGCTTTTTACGCTCGATAAGAGGGCTACGACAACTAGGTCTAAAATGTGAAAGATTAAATATAAAGACAATGAGAGCTGACAAAATGGCTGGCTCTGACAATTGTAGATGGGCAGCCTATGGACTATACAGGCGCCATTAATGCCATGAGAGAGGGAGAGAGAGAGAGAGAGAGAGAGAACGAATGGAGGACTTTACGGCTCCCAGGTTAACACAACCTAAAATGGCTACCAGGTAAAATCCTGGAAAGTAAAGGCGACCGTCATGATGACCACATCATCTATGGAGGTTCGACTGGTCTTTCAAACTGTGAGTCTAGCATCATATACCTGATGTGCACATGCATTAAAAGGGCCCTTCGCTGACTATTTACTTACCTTCACTTCAGATATCGTGGGTCAGGAACGTCGGAGCTTGGCATCTCAACGGGATCCTTTTTGATGGGGGGAGGATGAGAAATGGGAATAGATCTACTGCCTCTAATACGCATGTCGTAAAAGCGACTGATTGTGTTCCCTTCTAAATCGGGGCGCATCTGCATGTCGTAAGAGTCGACTAAACGGGAGCTTCCTTTGAAGTAGGAGTGCATCTGCCTGAGAGGCAAGGAACCATCAGACTGCATACAAATTAGTCAGATGCACACGCAACACTGGGTTCTGGAACAGAAGTGTAGTCCAGAAGTGGACGAACAACCAGAGCTTTCCGCCGGAGTTTACAGCCGGTGAACACGAAGAAAAAGAAGACGTGGACGAACAACCTGATCTTTCCGCCGGAGTTAGCCTGCGAATGCTAAGAAGGAGAAGAAGAGCTTAGTTCTCTCTCTCTCTCTCTCTCTCTCTCTCTCTCTCTCTCTCTCTCTCTCTCCCCCAAAGCTCACTAACATTGTTGTACTCACCATCGATTGAGCCTGTTTTATATTCTGTAGCAGAGCTTCGTTCAGTGCGGATCTAGTTTTGACCTGTTGCCGCTGTTTCTGAATCAAAGCGACCAGACCATCTCGGGACATATACTTGATAGTTATGTTATCGGCATGGATTTTCTGCATCAGACTGCTTCTTTTCGGCAACCCGCTGCCGACAAGGCTAGTTCTGGTAACAAATTTCTTGATGTCGGCCATGATTGCAGGCGTCTATTCTGGGGCTGAGAGAGGTTCAAAAGGAGTTGGGTGAGGAACCCTACCATATCTGAACAATTTCAACACAATATAGATCGCAAATATAGACAACAGCTATGCGGAACTGAAATGTCTGAGCGCGATCGGATTATTAATTTGTGTTCTTCAATACGCGCGTGAGAGAGAGAGAGAGAGAGAGAGAGAGAGAGAGAGAGAGAGAGAGAGAGAGAGAGGAAGAGAAAACGAACGAACGAACAAACTTTATTTTCTAAGGGTTACAGAGAGAGGAAGAGAGAGAGGGAGGGGGAAGAGAGAGAGAGGAAGAGAGAGGGGAGAGAGAGAGAGAGAGAGAGAGGGAGGAAGGAAGACAGAGGAAGAGAGAGAGAGGAAGAAAGAGAGGAAGAGAGAGAGGAAGAGAGAGAGAGAGGAAGAGAGAGAGGAAGAGAGAGAGAGAGGACGAGAGAGAGGAAGAGAGAGAGAGAGGACGAGAGAGAGAAGAAGAGAGAGAAGAGGAGAGAGAGAGGAAGAGAAAGAGAGAGAGAGATGAAGAGAAAGAGAGAGAGAGGGGGAGAGAGAGAGAGAGAGAGAGAGAGAGAGAGAGAGAGAGAGAGAGAGAGAGAGAGAGAGAGAACCCAAGGTGAGCGAAAAGATCTAGGAAATGTCGGTTGCTGTAATATTTTGTTTCCTTCTTCTTATTCGCGTTAACCGGCTGTAAACACCGGCGGTAAGTTTTAGTTGTCTTCAGCCAGTTCTGGACTTTAGTTCCAGAACGTGAGTGTTGCGTTGACATCCTTTCACAGATCTGGCGTATTTGTTTGCAGACTGTTTAGTTCCTCGCCTCTCCAACTTAAAAAAAAAGAAAGAAAATAATCGCCTCCTACGACATGCTTGTTAGGGAAATAGCGGGTATATATTAGAATTCATTAGTTGTGACGATGTGTCAGTAAGTGACGAGCCCATGAGCGTAGACTGTCATGTTTCGTTATCTCACACGATCACACAAACAAATAACAGATCAAGTCAGTGTTCTTGTCACGCTATGTTTGTTTTATTGACTAGCTTTCCGTATTTAGTGTATCTAGTTTTCTTTCGTTGAACGGAAACTGAACAATGACTCATAAGTCCGACAATCATTTATTCTACTTTCCAGCGAGGACCCCTCCCCCTCCCACCCGCAATGAACTGGCGGCCCAGCATAGAAAGGGTCACCATCATCATCATGTGTCTTGTCAAGCGTCGGTTCTCTCACGTGTCTCTATAGATCTTGGTCCTTGATATTTTGAATCAGTTCTACTGATGATATTCATCCAAGCCTTCGTTTGAGGCCCTGAAGCCTCGTTTCTCTTGGTTTGCCACAGCCTCTTCCACCGTTGATTTTTCCAGTCATCCAGTAGCCATCTTCTCATCACATGACAGAAAAACACTGATCACCTTTTTCTTATAGATGTATATAGTTTTCTAATTGCATTAGCCATTTTCAGGACAGTCGTTGATGGTTGCTATGTCCACGGTATTCGCATTACGCGTCTCAGAAACTACATCTCTCCAAGTTCTTGTTAATTTGTTCATTCCAGGATTCAGTCATTAAACAACACTGGTTCAACGTAACAGTTCAGTACTCTCTTTCTTACATTTAATAAAAGTGACCTGTTGCATATTTTTTTTTTAAAGACGCGTACCACAACTATATGTCGGCGTTGGTTTCGACAGTAGTATCGAGAAGCCAATCGTCCAGAAAGTAATGGCAAACTACTGGACGTAATGTTGCCTAGAAAAACCACAACAGCCAAGAAATCCTGGGGTTGGTTCTGCAATGTCCTGTAAAGGAAACGCAACTAACTTTTTTAACCAGAACAATTTACGGAATAAAGAAGATTGGACAAGTCTAACGCCATGCACTGGAAAGTTACAGGCCAGGAAAGGACACTTGGGCAAATGCGGCAACTTCTGCTTTTGACGTCTATGAAGGGTTCCAGAACAGACAGGAAACTATGGCGGTAGGACTGGATCTCGAGGATGCTTATAACAGAGTGAGATACGAAGTCTTAATGACTGCACTGAGGGAGAAGGAGGTCAATCCATGACTGGTGAATTGGATTGCAGCTGTCCTGTATTCACATCGGGTTGCTCTCCGACTGGGCTCATGGACCTCTGAACCACGCACTTTGGCCCAGGACTGCCACAGGGATCCGCCACCTCGCCTGTGCTCTTCAACGTGTATACGAGCAAGATTGCAAGCCTAGAAGCACCAGAAGTTGGAAGGAGACTGACTTTTGCGGATGATATACTTGCATATAGGCAGGGGAAAGAAAGGGAACAAACAGCTCGGGAGCTACAAGCGACATTAGACAAAGTGACTGAATGGTGTACAGAAATGAGGGCTGTCGTCCACCCGGAAAAGGCATCTGTTTTGTGGTGTTCTCAGGACTACAGAATCGTTAAAACTAATGTCCCAAGTCTCACGATAGATGGTAGAAACGTCAACAGAGAGAGAGAGAGAGAGAGTAAACTGAAGTATCTGGGAATTACATTTGAAAGAAGCCTGTCATTTAAGGACCATGTGGAGGGTGTTGTGACTAGATGCCAAAAAGGACATAGTGCACTTAAGACTATGGCTGCAATTGACATAGAGCAGAGAATGCTTTTCACACTATATCAGCACCTGATCATGTCAGTGGTGGATTATGGCCTAGGACTGCTTATCGTCTCAAAGAGTCAGATGGACAAACTAGAGCGCATACAGAACGCGGCTATGCGGGTCATTCTGCGTTGCACCAGAGACACCCCAGTGGTGTGTATGCGATACATCCTTGGTTTGCCGACGGTTGCAGGTAGGCACAAGGTGCTGCAGGCGAAGTCATATCTCATGGTAGCTGCAGACACAGACCACCCCCTGCATGAAGCTCTGGGTGCAGTTAAGGGTCAGCGGCTGATAAGAGGGAGGTCATGGATGGCTCAGGCAGAAGACACAATCAGACAGGTTTGCATCCTTGAGAACATTAGGCGAGGAGGGGAGTGGGTCAAAGAGCCACCCGAGCAGTCAGACTTATGTAGAGTCATAATCACGCTGAGCCGGGAATGCAGAGACTGGCCAGCAGGTGCCACAGAGGTGGAAATTCAGCAATTAATTAAAGATAATGCTCGCTCAGAGGATCTGATCATTTACACAGACGGTTCAGCGTCAAGAAGCAAAAAGAAGTGCTTGGGGCTTCTTAGCAAAAGTTAATGGTCGACGTTTGGTGCAGGAGAGCCTAGCATATGATACCACAACATCCAGCTTAAGAATGGAGGAGGAGGCGGTCACTGCAGCTTTCCGCTGGCTAGAGAACACGACAAACACACACATCGTGATTGTAACTGATTCAGAAAGCATGCTGAGGAAGATCAGAACAGGTAGTCTTCGTGCAGAGTGGCATGCTTCGCTACGGAGGACACGAGTGAAGAGTATTGTCTGGATTTTTTCACCGGGTCTCGCCGGTGTGTTGGGAAATGAGCAGGCGGACAGAGTGGCTGGCTCTGCACAAATTGGTGGAATACTGTTACATGATAGGGCAGACGTGGTTAGTGCCTTGTGGGAGAGCATGTACAATTCGGAGGAGCAGATGGATCACCACAGTCTGGTGAGATTGATGCAGTTGGGGGTGACGAGAGGCTCTGGCAGAAGCTCGAGGCTCAGAGGAAGGGCAAGACGGAAGTTTAATCAGAAAGCTACTGGCACTATTGGTATCGGAACTCTTCGCTGGCTGCTGAAGATGGGGACGGAGCGCTTATGGGAATGCCCGAGTGCTGTGATGGTGGTTCTTGAATCAAATCAAATCAAGCGCCATGCACACGAAGTCTCAAGACGTGACAAAGGGTTGTTTATTACTTTTTACACTTACTGCACTTCTGTAATCTCCTATTCTATGAGTGCCAGTCAATACAGACGGGTGTATTTCTCACATCAAACGAATACATCGTGGATACCAGCTTGCTGTAATACAAACTGTATTGTCAGTTCAGCCATAGCAGCGACATTTCGCGCTCTGTGACAAAATAGACAATAACCAGCAAGTTTTAGCAGCGTTCATTATATTTACTCGAGCGGTGAGTGGGTTTTCCCCGTACGCGAATCTCGCTGGGAAGTAAATACAGCCCAGGTGATGTTCACTACATTATTCATCGACTGGTTTATTTAGAAAAGAAAAAAGTCACCAAGAAATCTTATAATTATCGAGGGGAAGAGTCTCATTTAGATAGGTAATTAGTTAGTTTGTCGACAGACTGTCTCCATTGCATGTCAAACCATTTAGTTCATACGTACTCAGATCCCCCCTTCCAGTAAATCCCGCAGCATATAGTGGTTGATGACACTAGTCCTGTATTGGATTCCCATTCTTCTTCGGCTTTCTGCATAGTGCTCTTATCTGGCCACATCCCTTTAATCATGATATTCTTGCAGTCTGGTCATGGTAGCAGATTTGCAATCACTTGGTTCTCGCAAACGTCTCACTTCTCGTAGAACATTCAGTTCCTGGCACGAAGCCTTGTTTAGGCGCTCATTAATAATAATACAAATGTGAATTGCAAATAAATATTATATTCCGAATAATATGAAATGCAAAAGCAAACGCTTAAAATGAGAGCGCAATGGTATAGTTAGGGGGTACCATTTAGCCTCCTTGCTAATTTTTTGGTATAATGTGGGTGTCAGCCTCAAGGGAAGGGTGAGACGGAAATACAGTCAGGCTGCTATTGGAACTCTGCGCTTGTTACCGAAGATGGATGGAGCGCTTATGTGAATGTCCCGATAGCTGTGATGTCGATTCCTAATTCAACATTAAACATAGAAGTGCCTGGAGGTTTTCGGCAAAAGGTGATGGTAAACTTTTAGTGCAGGAGAGTCTAGAATATGATACCATAGCATCTAACTTAAGAATGGAGGAGGAGGCAGTCACTGCAGCTTTCCACCGGCTAGAAAACGGGATACACACACACATACTTCATGATTGTAACTGACTCAGAAAGCATGCGAGGAAGGCGAGGACAGGTGGCATGCTTCGCTTCAGAGGTCACGGGTAAAGAGCATTGTCTGGATATTTTCTCCGGGTCATGTCGGTGTGTTAGCAAATGAATTGGCGGACGAACTGGCTTAACTTGGTGAAATATTAAAGCATGACAAGGCAGACATCGTCAGGGTCTCATGGGAACACGTGTACAATTTAGAGAGGAAATTGATCATCATTGTCTGGTGAGAGTGATGCGGCGAAGAGTGACGAGGAAATCTGACTGATACTCCCGATCAATGGAAAAGCAAGACGGACATATAATCAGACTGCTACTGGCACCGTTGGTATCGGAACTTTGAGCTAACTGCTGAAGATGGCAACAAAAAACAAGACAAACTAATTGCAGATCTAAGGACCAACATTGGCTTGAAGCAGAACTGGTCTTGCAGTGGATACCAGCCCACTGTGGTATTCAAGGAAATGAGAGAGCAGATGAGTTGGCAAAAGCTGGGAGTAATCTTCCACAACCTCATCCACCACACAGCTACAAGGAAACCAAAACAGCACTAAAGCAGTCTTTCAAGCGGGAGTGGCGAAAGCAGAATAGAGATTACAGACCAGAGAGTGACAGCATAAACAAACTCATCAGGAAAGAATAAACATCAATTTTTAGACTTCGGACTGGACACCGTGGTCTTCGAGCACACCTGTACAGGATAGGCATAAAAGAATCTGCTGCCTGTGATTGTGGAGCAGAAAGACAGACTCCTGAGCACATACTGCAGTACTGCCCTTACCTCTCCCAGCAAAGACTGTGGATCTGGCCCAGGGAATCCACATTGCGAGAGAAGCTATGGGGGACCGGTGGCGACCTTAAACGCACAATCATATTTTTGACCCAGACGGGACTTAATGTGTAGCAAGACTGATGTCGAACGCAAAAGAAGAAGAAGATGGCAACAGAACGCTTTCGGGAGTGCCACATGCTATTGAATATCTCAAAATATGGAGAAGCATGATCGCCAACGCCAGTCGGCAGGGTATGTGGGGATGTGTGAGGATGTGTGTGCCTGTGTATATTTATATGCTCATCTATACAGACATTGGTTAGAACATTACTAATAATTATAATTAATAATAATAATAATAATACGAGTTCCAACAGAAAAAAGCACGACTGGAACTATTTTATGAGATCTTTTTAGCCAACCAGTAACGTTCCAGTTCTTACTGCTGACAGCTAATAAAATGGCGGAAAGCATGAACCAGAAAATCCCCGACTTTATATGGCTGTACCCAGACCTGCTTTCTGAGGACGGCCTGCGCTTTATATTACGACAGGTAAGCGTTCGTCAAGTAGTCATCACTGCTCGTTTGTATTGTGAAATATAATTATATCTCACTAGCTTACTTTTAACTTTCCCCTTTAGTATAGTATGATTTAAACTTATATATATTAATTATTAAATTATAATTAATTATTAATAATATTTAATTATTTAAATTTAAAAAAAAATAGTAATAGTACTGTAATAGAGTAGTAGTACTATCAGTACAGTAGTACTGCTGCTAAATACTATGTATAGTGGGATGCTAGGCTAAGGAAGTATTAATAGGGATGTTAGTGTAAGTTTATTTATGGTGGCTAAGTTGTTAAATGGCACTTGCCTCCTCATCCTCATGGTTTAAAAGTTGAAGGCCCTCTCAGCCCTCAGGGGAATAGTTGCTAGAGCTCTATGGTATGGGGGTTGTACCAGCTTTGTGATTTGTGCATCGTTCCCAAGAGGTGGCTAGCCATTGTGCAGAAAGATCAAATTAAACCATATGAGGTAAATCACAACTTGTCACAGACATCAGAAGGAGACAGTCATCATTTTTCGGCCATGTTATAATTATAAGAAGAGGGAAAATTATTTTCAAAATATAACATGTTGTGTGACCACTGGAAAGATCTGTGGAAGGAGGGATAGAGGAAGACAATGAGAGAAGATGCTTGACAGTCTTGTTGCATGGCATGGAGGAGTGTCGGCACATGAACTGATACATGCTGCAGGAGATCGCAGATTACATGATGATGATGGATGATGATGAGATAAATCAAATCCAAGTGCAAGGAAGAGAATTATTAATATTATTTCTTTTTTCAACTTTAAACCTCGTATTAACTATTAAGTTCATTAACTCATAAAGTGCTTACTTAAAAACTAACTAACTGGCAACCATTTTTATATGTTAATTACATCATGCCAGCTGATAATAGACATTTTGGCTATCTTCTGAATAACGGATACAAAATATTGAGGCCGAAAATATACCCTAACGGCCTCAGTCACGTGTCAATTGCGGACTTCCAGTGACTTACTAGGGGCTAAACTAGATGAAACTAGGGGCTAAACTAGATGAAACTAGGGGCTAAACTAGATGAAACTAGGGGCTAAACTAGATGAAACTAGGGGCTAAACTAGATGAAACTAGGGGCTAAACTAGATGGCTGGGACTCATGAGCAGCTACCACATCTTCTGCAGCTTCCTTCATTTTATTTGCTTGTGAGACAAGGCTAAGAAAATACTCTAACAGGGCCTCAATGCTTGTGACTGTGCTGCCAGGAAAGTGCGCCTAATTTTCAGAAAACAACGCGCGGCTAGTGCGGCCGTGGTAACGTTGCGTCTGCGTAAGTTCCATACATAACTCTTTAATCGATAGTGTTGTGGTTCCATGGTTGTGAGAGATTCATTCTGGTGGTGGTGTCGTAATTGCAATATTTCTGGCCCTGATCCTAGGACCCAGGGGAGAAGTTAAACCTAGCACTCAGTGTTGGAGCTGTTTGCACCCTCGTGATTTGGGACCAATATTTGGAGAAGTGTTTCCTGCAGTTTGTGGTATATTCGCCGGAAGGAAGTCCGCAATTTACATACGCCCTGTTATCATATTTTCTTAGCCTCGATAATTTGGGACCGTTATTCTTAGGATAGCCCAGGATATTTTATTGCTAGGCTCGTTGGCAGATAACCATAAAGTTATATGTTTACTTAACAATAGTGAGCTGGTGGCCATTTTGATATGGGATATTTTAATCTCTATCCAGATGTGGTGGTTTCGTAAGTGAAAACCCAATGTATAAAATTCTTAAAACTAACTTATCTCTGCTAGAACTCATTTGATGAGTATTGTAATATATAACAGATATTTAAATGCATTATTGTATTAAAATGTAGGCACTCTTCCAAATGCTGCTCCCAAATTATTCACTGCTTAAAAAATCCCATTGAGGGCCTCAAGAGGTTATATAGTGCTCGATTTCCCGCCGAGTTTTAAATTTTATTTTAGCACTTAAAAGGGCAGTTGGCACGTTGTTGTTTACACCTAGGCTGCGATATCTGTGCTTTTTGCCCCAACACATCTGATTTCAGCACAGTCCTAATTAGTTGTCTTTTGCAACATTTTTTAGGTGACAGTAGATCTATTCTTTTTTTTAAAATCAAACATGTGGCCCAGGAACCCACAAGGGGAGTCACAGGTAATGTGAACAATGGATCAAAAATTATTCCTCCCCACGACGCTTAAATGGATTTAAAACTACGCCTCCCCACGACGATTAATGAGTGGATCAATATATATTTCTCCCCACGTCGATTCAATGGAACGGCGCTTAGCTTAACATCTTAACATTGCTATCCATCGAGCAGTAGCGGCAGGAGGGGAACTGCTAATGATGGTCTAAATGTTTTTACTACATAACTCTTAAGGCCCTCAAAGGGATGTTTTTTGCAGTGATTAATTTGGGACTGGTATTCGGAAAAGTGCCTAAATATTTTTATATTTCAAAAATGCAAATGTTTTTATATAATCCACTAATTAAAAATATTATATTAATTATAATAATAATATGATTTATAACAGTATCAGTAACAAAACAACATAGTGCATTGTTGGCTGTAGGTGTGGCATGGGTTATACATTTCTGATCTAATATCTGTATCTGTGACCTAGGGCTGTCAGGTCTGTCAACATAAAAGGTTACCACGTAAGACCTAGGAAGTAAACTGTTGTCTGGTCTGTATGTGTGGGCATGGGTTATACAATTCTGATCTCATCAGTATCTGTGACCTAGGGCTGTCAGGTCTGTCAGCATAAAAGGTTACGTAAGACCTAGGAAGTAAACTAAAGGTGGCCAGTGTGATGTTGACATCAACTGTCAGATTTTCCTGTAAATATTGGGGTCAAGCACCATTTGTCTGATTTGCCAGTAGTAAAAAACAGGTTCTTAGCACCATAGCAGATCATTCCCTGTCTGACATGGCACCAACTGGTATTTCACATGTTACACTGATACCAATTATGGTTATACCTATCTGTATATAGTACCCTTGTAAATACCACCATACCACAACATCTGTGTTTTTGTGCTGTTCATTTATAAATGACACTGACTTCCATTATTTCCAGCGGTTTATAAAACATTCTAAATCAGACCTGGAAAGTCTGCCAAAGGAGGACCTAGTTGAGCTGTTTAACAGATATGTTCTGCCCTTGCCACAGAGGAAGTACAGAAGTAACCGCAGGGGGCAAGAAATGACCAGGAAACAGATTTTGCTGGACAAGAGTTTAAAAAGAAAGAGCGCTGATGATAGTGACCAATCTAAAACAAAGTATGAAATGATGTTGTTAAATGTTTTTCTTCAGCATGCAAAGTCCTTGAGATTCATTGCTGCAGATATCACCCGCCTCCATTCATCGCTGTGGTTGGTCCTCTCTTTCTTGTTGTACACATGTTTGTAGATCTCCCTGGATATCATCTCCATTGTGTTCTTTGGTCTACTTACTACCATTCTGTTCTTTTTTTTTTTTTTTTAATATAATAGTTTTTGCCTCTCTTATATATAATTCAGCCATTTAGAAGTTGAATTCCATTATATCTTCTTGTTCTTCAGCATTCCGAGCCCTTGATTTTCATTGCAGATATCCCATGCCTCCATTCATCTCAGTGATTAGCTTTTCTTTTTACTTGCTGACTGTAAATGTTTGTAGGTCTGCCTGTATCTTTCTAATGTTCTCATGGTCTACTCCCATTCAGTTTTTTAGTTTATTGTTTTTGTCTCTCTGTTATCTACCATTCTCTCCTTATCGGGCAAAAAAAAAAAAAAATTCACGGCACACCTACATTGAAAGCTGTTTGAATACTTAGGAAAATAATAAAAAACAGTGCACATTTAATGTTCAGTTGTTTTTAATGTGGAAAGAGAAACTGCTTGGATTATTTGTTTCATTACTTTATGTATGTGGGAAGTTTTGTTAATTTTACCTTCAGATCACTTGACCCAGAAAGTTTGCTTCTGTATCTGTTTTATTTTATGTAAAAGTACGTTCAGAATGCACTGCAGTCTTGCCAATAGCATTGTCTTCTGAATACACCTGAACTTTTCTTTGCTTCCTTCACGGCATTTTTGTGTTAAACTGCTGTCTTCGCTCTTCACTGCATCTCTGTTTTAAACTGCTGTCTTCGCTGATCTCAAGCAGATTTTTAAAAAAAATTCTTGATTATAGCAGCGGCACCCCTGGCATACGCTCGCAGCACCCAGTTTGAGAACCTTTGTCTTAGACCTTATGATGCCGATAATTAGTGGTGATTTGAACAGATTATGAATTGTGTGTTGAGTGTCAATCAGAACTTGTCCACTTATCATGCTGTGAGATGTTGAAATGTAGTAATCTTTTTGTGTGAAATGTTTTTGCAGGAAGAATAGAGCAGATGTTCCATCAAGTGGACTCATCAATCATGTGAATAGTTCAGCCGCTCCTGCGGCCAGGTTAAAACCTCCCCCATCTCTTGTTAACTTTGAGAAAAAAGTTGTCAAGTTGGTGGCATCAGGGGACAAATGTTTACACATCGATGATCAGAAAGTCGAAGGATTGCAAGAAGCATCAAAGGTGATTCAGTTATATATTTGTTTGGGAAAATCTCTATGTGGGTTCTGGGGCCCCATTTTGGGCGGGGGAAAATGAATAGACTTAACTGCTTCGTAACAAGTATGTCTTAAAGGGCTACTTATTTGAGGTTTGCTGATGTAAGTGTTGGCCTGAAAGGTGTAGATATCACATCCTAGTTTAAGACCATGAAACACAATGTAAATTTAAAGGTAAAAGCAAAGTTTAAGAAAACAAAGCTTGTGGTTTTTAAAAAAAAAAAGCTACATATTTTTGTGCTATGCACTTCTAATAGAGCAATTATTGGTAGTGCACTTGTCAGTCAAGGCAGTGGTGCGGGTTCAATTCCCAGAAGGTTTCCTGTCTAGGTTCCGTGGGAGAAAGGATTATTACTGAACGCCAGCAAGCATTTCATAAAAGTCGACTAATTCAGGGCGTTTCCTTCTAATTTGGAGTGCATCTGCCAGTGAGGTGGGAAACTAATAGTCTACATATAACTAGGCTAATGTAAAACGGATATGCATACAAAACTCAAGTTCTGGAGTAAGGCCTAAATCCAGAAATGGGTGAAAAAACAGAACTTTTCACCTTTGTTTATTATTTCCTCTTTGACAAGGCCGTATAGATTTGTTTACTCTTTCCTCTTCAGCTGGGGTGTAGAGACACCTTACAGTTTTGTTTACTCTTTTCTTTTCCACGCCGGAATGATAAGATGCTGTGTTCTCCCTTGGTCATTCTTCTTCTACCATATAGCATACCAGGCAGTCTTAGGAACAGTTAGGCAAACAGGCACTTTGGTAACTAAAGCTCTGTGACCATGCACCATAAAATTACAGTATTATTGCCATATTTGATATTGTTGTGGCAGAGTAGTTCAGATTCCAATCATAACTGTTATAAAGTCCTTCAGTAAACTGATGTGGGTGATCACACTGCAACTAAAAATGTCTGTGCTGTGTCCTGTGTGACCGTGCTTCTTCCACCACATTTAGATTACACATTTTACCTGCCCATGTTTCTTCAGAGTCAGAGTGCATTTGCCTGAGAGGCAAGAAACAAACAGTCTGCATACAAATAAGCCAGATCTGTAAAATGGATGTACACGCAGAACTCAGGTTCTGAATCCAGACTAAAGTCTAAAGGTGGATGAACAGCCATAAATTTCTGCTGGAGTTTATAGTCGGTAAACATGAAAAGAAAAACCTGAACTTGGTATTAACATTTACTTTATGATAGAGTCATATCTAAATTGGGAGTAGCTTTCCTGCAATCATAGTGTTTGCAGATTTAGGAATTTGTTTTTAAAATTATGTATAACTGTGACCATGGTATCAGTAGATGTAATACATGAAGTAGTGAATGCCAGTTACCACTTTAAAACTTGATGCTGAAAGGACAGAACAGGGGCTAGAGAACAGAAGTCTAGGTCATTCCCTGGTACCCATTTTAGTGGTCAAGCTAGATCAGCCATATACATTTTCCTTTGGTGGGAATTTGAATCCACACCTATCGGTATTGACAGCTGGGGAATAAGTAGCATACGATTTTGGAGGGTTAGTCTTTAGAATTCTAATTAATAATTGTTAACTGTTCTTTCATAGAAAGAAATGTATTATTGAATGCAACAAAAAGACCGCTCACCCCCACCCCCTTTTTTGGGTGAAATAATAAAATGAATCGTGATTTGTTTCAGGATAATGGTCCTAGCCCAGCAAAAAAGAAGTTTGAGAAGATTACATGGCCATAGATTCCGTTGCCATCTGAAAAGAAGTCAAGGCATCTAAACTGGTTTGAAGTTGATTTAAACGAGGGCTTTCTTTTTATAAATGGATGTTGGAGGACATAAGTTATGAATTATTATCATCATCATCTAGACTGCGGAATTGTTGAGCCATCACTAGATGGGTCTCTGTGGCAAAGTGATCATGACATTGACTTCGCACTCTAGAGTTCATGTTACAGAATGTGTCATTCGGTTCACAGTACAGTGATCCCTGGGAATCATCGTTGGAGCTCTGGAGTTCATGCAAGCAGTTAGCCCTTCTGCGTAGAGAGGCCGGGCCATATTGGCTGAAGCCCCATGCAGTGAGGGTGTTCCTCTTGACTTTATATTTTAACTTTATGATCAATGCTGGTTACTTGTGGCCATCACAGGATTTGTATTTCACGTGTGTGGCAGAGGTTTTTATCCACTACTGTGATGAGGATGACCGTCTTGCTTGTCTGTTCAAGCAGCAGTGCAGTTGCTGGAAAGGGTGTTTGTGACAGAAAAGCTGTCACATTCTCACAGACCTATGTAATTTTAGTGTGGCATTTTGGGAGAGATTTGTTTTCCCTTGCCAGGAGTTGGTGGGAGCCCAACCAAATCTCTGTCAAAATTAAGAGTTCGGAAACATGGGTACATCCTTCTGGACTGGCCAGCTTACAGGGATCTGCACTCCTAGCTGTGGCTAACAATGAGCTGATGCACAAGTTACAGTTGTGTGTAAAATGTGACTGGCATGTGTAATATTGACTCCATCATTGATTGATTCCCCATTGATTTATAAATTATGAGTCCAGAATCATATGGCCGATATGCCAGTGACATCTTACAAGTTATGGGGATGCCACAGTGTACTAGAATGACAAGATACTTCTGCATTTGCCCTTAAAAAAGGCGTGTTGTAGTTTACAGACATGCTGCAATATCTCCTTGACCCAAACATCAGATTTCAGCAAAATCCTTTACTATTTGATCTGAATGTTGGAAGATGGTAGTGATTTGCAAGAAATGTCCATGTAGAACTGGAACTCAGGTAATTACTTGGGACCCACATGTTTGCCCATCTATGCTGCCAGATGTGGCAAAAGTGTGTTGACACAAGGCAGAAGTGATGTGACTGCTACGGTGACCCGTAGAAGATGATGGAATTCAGACTGACATCATCACACCAGAAGAGATGATTTGTGAATATCCCCAGTTTTACAGAGATGGCTGAGTACCCCCACAGTGTACAGATATGACTAAGCACAGTGTTTTTTTTTTTTGTGGTCTTCAGAGATGACTGTGTTTAAGTTAACAATTTTAGATGATTGTTTGGGAGTTCCAAGTTTTACAGGCATGACCGTTTTTGGGGGTTCCCAGTTTTAAAAAGTTGACTGTGTTTAGGAGTCACAGCTTTTTTTTAAGAGTTGACTGTGTTTGGGAGTTCCCATTTTTACAGAATTGACTGTGTTTGGGAGTTCCCAGTTTTACAGAGTTGACTGTGTTTGGGAGTTCCCAGTTTTACAGAGTTGACTGTGTTTGGGAGTTCCCAGTTTTACAGAGTTGACTGTGTTTGGGAGTCCCAGTTTTACAGAGTTGACTGTGTTTGGGAGTCCCAGTTTTACAGAGTTGACTGTGTTTGAGAGTTCCCAGTTTTATATAGATGAGTTTGGGAGCTCCCAGTTTTACAGAGATGAGTTTGGGAGCTCCCAGTTTTACAGAGATGAGTTTAAAAGTTCTCAATTTTACAGAGATGAGTTTGGAAGCTCCCAGTTTTATATAGATAAGTTTTGGAGCTTCCGGTTTTACAGAGATGAGTTTTGGAGCTCCCGGTTTTACAGAGATGAGTTTGGGAGTTCTCAATTTTACAAAGATGAGTTTGGGAGCTCCCAGTTTTAACTGACAGTTTCCGAGGTTCCTAGTTTTATATAGGTGACTGAGCTCCAGTTTTACAGAGATGCAGGCATTGTGACAAACAAGTGACTCACAGGGAAGCTAAATGTGGTGTTTAACATATTTATTTATTATATGATTGCATACTGAATGTAAAATAAAAATGCCTGTACGAACCCTGTCAAAATATTTGGCCAGGAACTGCGATAATATAACTTGTACATTGTTTGAACAATTTGGGAATGTGTAAATTTGAATACATTTGTTTCCCCAAATTTTTGTTGAAATGTGTAAATAAGTTTCTTTCCCTTCAACTTTGGGCACCAGATAATCTTCTGGGAAGTTAAGTGACATGGGAGTTATGATCACCTCATCATTTGTATGAAGCTCCCCAAACTAACAGCTGTGTCTTCACATGCTCACAGAACAGGGTGCAACAACAGATCACACTTTCTAGCTGCTAGTGATTAAAAAAAAAAGTTTAGTGTATCTTATGGAGATTCCAATAAGAAATTCTTGTGGGAAGCCAGCCAAACAACTCAGTTACACTGAAACTTGTGAACCTACCACAAAAAAAATTTAAATCAAATTTCTTTAGCCTCTTTTTCTTGATTCTTGATATAATTCCAGTCTTCTTGTGAAATATGGATTGTCTGCTTCTGAAGCTCTTTCTAAGCTGGTGTAAGTTGCTGCATTTATTCTTACCTTGTGCCGTGAGATTAAATTCCAGCCACTTGTTGATCTGACCATAAAAAAAAAGTGGCTTGAATACATAAAAATAATACTGTTGTATGCCAAAATAAACTGTTCCAACGGTCAGACACAAAAACATTCCTATTCTAATCCTGCCTGTTAATAAATCAGTGTCTCTATCCTATCCTGATCCCCACATGTTAAGAAACCCCAGTGTATCCACCCTATCCTAACTCTCACATAAAACAAAAACTAATGTACCTACATAACCCTGACATACACACAATATGTGAACCCACTGTCTGTATCCTACCCAAACCCCCACATTAAAAAAACAATTAAAAAATGTCACCATATTATCCCAAACACTCTTGTATTACTTTAAAAAAAAACCTGTGCATCAAATCAGCATATAGTAATATGACAAGAACAATTTATTTAGAGGGTTCAAACAAATCAAATCACAGTCCAATAACATACAAAACCTTGTGGTTTCCTAGGCCAGATTCTACGAAATTGGAAATAAACCTCAATTCCAAGTTTTGTTAACAAAATATATAGTGTGAACTGTGGCAAAGCTATTATGAAAATATAACGGGTACATGCTAAATAACAATGTCAATGTGGGCAGTTTAAACTTTTCCAAGAACACAAGTAACAGGGCTCCTAGCAGCCCTTGACTGACAGCTTAGACCCTTGATAGTCTTGAAATGCTCTGGATCCTTAAAAAAAAAAAAAGACCAACACCCTTGAAGTTTGCCAGTAGTAATCTTGGAATTAAAAAAAATATAAGACCACGTGTTTGAGAGTCACTAATAAATGATAATAGAAAAACAAGGCTGTGTTTGCAGTGAAGCAATTCTTTCCAACCATAATGTAAATCGTCCTGTACCTGACAATTTCAGCACCCCCCCCCCCCCCCCCACCCCTCCATTTATCCCACCACTCTAGATCTCCAATATCTCTTTTTTCCCCTTACTCCCTCTGTCTTTGTATCTTTCCTTTTATCAATACTCTCTCTACCTGTCTTTCCCTCATACCTTCTCTGTCTACATCCCTCTTGTTCATTCATTCTCTAAAGTATCTGGTCTAGAGCAGATCCCTCTTGTTCATTCATTCTCTAAAGTATCTGGTCTAGAGCAGACACCACTTTTATGACTCCTATTTCACTCTCACGAAAAGCAGCTGCTGGGAGACTCTTCCAGGCCATAAATCGAGGGTTTCTTAGCAAAAGAGAATTTGGCAAGAGGACGAAAATGGCTGTTTACCGCTCTACCTATGTACCAGTCCTGACCTATGGGTATGAGTCATGGGCAATGACAACAGCTCACAGAAGCCAGCTGCAGGCCTCGGAAATGAGATACCTGAGAAAGGTAGTCCAAGTGACAAGAAGGGACAAAGTCCGCAATCAGACAATACGTCAAGATCTTGATACCCAGCCCTTACTAACCCGAGTAGATCAGTCACAGTTACGGTGGTTTGGACATGTATGCAGAATGGGAGAAAATCGGCCACCATGGGAGGCTAAGAACCAGGGAACCAGACCTCCGGGACGACCCAGGGTGTGCTGGGAAGACAACATCCGACAGTCCCTAACTGACAGAGGACTGGAATGGAACAAAGCCAGAAAGAAAACTGCTGATAGAGACGTCTGGCGATCTCTCTGGCAAACCTCTACACCCCAAGGTAGAAGAGGAGTAAGTAAGTAAGTATTTAACTCTCAAGCCATTGCCCTCAAGAATGCGTCAGAGTCAAGTCACTTCATGTTTCAAGTCATTTGCAAGTAATGCATGGGACTGCTTATGGATCAATCAAAAATGGCAGTGCGAAAAACTCACTAACTATTAATAAAAGCAGAGGTTAAATGTGAAAGCTTCAAACATAATCTATTTTTAACGTGACGCTAATCACCAAACCTCAGGGTGGCTGGCCGCAAACAACAATCACTGAAGCTACAAGTCATTAGGAAAAATCCTAATTTGAGTGGCAAGTCGTTAATTACACGATTTAATAGTCTCAAGTCACATGACTCAAGTTCCTACCTCTGCCTCTAACAAGCATTTCATAAGAACCACTAATCAGTTTTCTGAAATCAAGTGTGTTGGGTGGAGAGGTGCAAACATTAGCTCAGTTCTTAACCCTTTTGCTGCTATGGACGTCTTTTCCCGATTTCCCGTACGCTGCTACGCCCGTCTTTGGACATTATTTTTTTTCTTGACCCCCAGTGCTATGGACGTCCCAAGCCGTTTTTGGACTTTTCTTACAGATTTCTGTTACCTCGTATTTTATTGGCTGAAGGGCAATATACATTAGCTATATTTAGATTAAACTGATCCATTTACATATGATTAAAAGCACTGGCACATGCTTTAAGGTGTGTTTACTGCATTCTGCGTTATCCCGTTGCTTTGTTTACGGTGACAGAGTGGTCGGTGATCTGTGTATTTTGTGCCCTGATATATATTTGTGCTTTTGTATTATTCTACACTTAGTACAAAATGGCAAGAAAACTTGTTAAAGTTGATGAAGAATTGATGGAGTTTCTGTCAAGAAGTGATAGCGAAGATGACTTTGAAATGTGTACTTCTGACAGTGAACAAAGAGATTTGACTAGGCAATCAATATCGACTGCTGAAACCGGCGTGTCCCAAAAAAAAAAGCTGTTTGCCTGTCCAACGTCCTCATCGTCGGAATCAAAGAGCAGTGACAATGAAGCGCCATCAAAACGGCAATAAATTGGTCTTGATGAACCGATGATTTGAAACCAGTAGTGCATAATTTTGATGACTCCAGCTCTGGCTGTATTTCAGCAACTGTAAATTCAAACAGTTCAGTCACTATAAATTCTCGTCTTTCCCGATGGACAGACAGATTCGGACACATTTTTGTGTGTATGCTGTCTGTCTGCTAACGCTTAGAACAAAGAAACTCAAAATAGAGTACTTGAGTAAAGACTGCTAAAAACTACCGTAAAATAATGTCGAGGGACATATTTTTACTATTGTTGAGAATCTCAAACATTTCTCAGACAACAGTGCTCATGCAGGCGGCGATAGACTACAAACTTGGACACATTATTGATAGTCTGCGCACATCATTCATTATTATCATTCACACAACACAATGCATCAAGCTGTAGCATAGTGTAGTTGGTATCACGTTCGCCTCAGAATCGGTGGGTCGTGTGTTCAACCCCCAAAGTTGTGTGTTTTTTTTTTGTGTGTGTAAATTTTCCTTTCAGTTCCTGGTACTTTTCAGCAACGGACGACTTATTATTATTTTTTTGGTATGTAATAACATGGTGACTACAAATAACTATGATTAAACTGGCAGCCGTGGTAGGTTCGTCAATCAAATTTTGGGATACGGACTGGGAACAGTTCTTCCCATTAATCCCCCCCCCCCCCCCCCAGGGGAGTGATGGCTCCGTTAGTCAAGTTTGTGGGGCACCATTGTGCCTCTGACTTGTCACCACTCGGACCAACCACACAACTCCCCAGGGTAAAAATCTTTGAGTGTACGAAATATAGCCCTCACCGCCGACGCATCTTTTGCGTTTAGAGGATAGAAAAATATTGCGCACAGCAGAGACTTTTTTTTCCACATTGATTAGCACAGGGCAGACAGCAATTTCCGGGAACGTAGCAGCGCACACACACAAAAACCAAGTAAAGCGCTTTTTAAAGAGCAAATGCAGGAAAATAATTCTACGAACACGCATCTTTTCTGTGGCAATGTGGATGGGGGTCATGGAATGTTTTGCAAAAAATTCAAATGCTACAGAAAAACAATTAAAATACCCTTAGTTAAGAAGAAAACATTCTACAGGATCTGGAGACCAAAGATAACTGGCTAAATAAACAGTATCATTCAATATGTGGGTTCTGGGGCCCCATTTTGGTGGAAGGAAGAACAGATCCCACATCAGCTTGTCATAGGAGACAACTAATAAGGTGTGTTTCCTTCAGAGTGCATCTGCCTGAGAGATGATGAACCAGTCTGCATACAAACAGATCAGTAAAATGGAATATGCGTGCAAAACTCTAGATCAAAGAAAAGAAGTGGTTGAACAACCATAATTTTCTGCCGGACTTTACTGCTGGTGAACACTATGAAGAACATGACCAGGAAACAAATACTTCAGCCATAAAATATAGCAGCGGGTAGGACAGCAAAGGAAGGCAAGTTTATGGACAAAGAAACAGCAGAAAGAAAAACACAAAGGAAGGCAAGTTTATGGATGAAGAGACAGGAAAGACTAGCACAATGGAAGGCAAGTTTATGGACGAAGAGACATAGCTAGCACAAAGGAAGGTGTTTATAGACGAAGAAACACAGGGAACACTAGCACAAAGGAATACCCGTGAGACATCCTGGACAAAGTAAATACAGGAGCCAAGGAATTGGATGGCATGATATGTTATATTACACACCCAAAAAAAAAAACATTACAGTAAATACATCACATTTAAAATGGGATTATCAACTTCACTGAGCTAGGTTTTATCATGTCTCGGTTCCCTGTAAAAAAAAAAAAAAAAAGGGGGGGGGGGGGTGTAGACCTACTGCTTCCCTGAAAAGCATGTCATAAAGGACTAATTAGGGGTTTTCCCTTCCAAGCTGGACTGTGATCACATGACAGGCAAGGACCCAATGATCTGCATACAAATAATTTAGATCTATCAAATGGATATGCACATGAAGCAAGTTCTGGAAAAAGACTAAGGCCCTGAAGTGGATGAACAACCAGGGTTTTCCGTCGCAGTTTAAAGCAGGTGAACATTAGTAAAAAGATGACAGTCTTTTGAACAAAGCACACACTTGCAACCATCCCCAGGAGGAATCCCTGAAATGCCTGTACTTGCAAATCAAAGGACAGAGTCTGAAATCGAACCCATCAGAGAACAACAAAACCTCTCGTGCTGTCTTCCTGTTTCCTTTTCGACAGATCTTTCCAATGGTCACATGTTCCAGTTTCCTGCTACTCATAACATAACTAGAGAAATAAAATGTCTCTTTCTAATGTTTGTGATATGTTGTATTCAAGCCTTCACCTTTCTTCAAAACATCTGGGTTGCTCTTTTTGTTTGCCCAAGGAATCTAATGACTCTTCTGTAAAACAACATTTCCAAAGCCTTAAATAATAGGCTTTAAAAAAAATTAACAGGATTCACAGCCATATCCCTTTCCCACCTTGCACATTACATAAAAAAAAAGGGGGTTACATGACGTGCAAAATGTTGCACTTTTGAAAATCCATATATGCTAATATAATATTGGTAACAACACATCTGTGTCCACGGAACATGGGCTATTTGTTTGCTGGTCGTCCTGTGATGTGAAGCCTGGTGGACGGAGAAAACCTGAGTGGAATGTAGCCATCGATATTCGCTCCAGCGACACATGGAATACCATCTGCAACAAATGTAAGGACAATTTACATACAATATATTTCTGGGTTACCACTGTCTAATAATACAGAGCTATAGTAATATTCAGTCTATCCTCAATCTTGTGGAAGGTAAGGGGAAGCCACTGACTATACATTTGACTGTGGAAGGCAAAGGGGACCACTGACCCTAGACATTGTGGAATGTAGACGGAAACCAGTAACTCTAGTCATATATCAGTCTATACTTTAGACTGGAAGGTATGGGGAAAGGACTGACTTATACTTTTGATTGCGGAAGGAAAGGGATACCAATGACTGTATATTTTTTTTATTGTGGATCATACAAAGTAACCAAGTGACTCTCGTAAGGTATCTATCAATCTGTACTCTAGATTGTGGAAGGCATGGGGAAGACATTGTTTCTAGTCTTCATCTTCTTCGATCCTTGTGTCAGAAAACTTATACCAGGAGGCCGGTAGCCTTTATGAAAGCTATCGTGCAGTCCATATCCTCTCGTGTACCATACAGCTTTGTCTTCATTGTGGTTGGAACAGGCCAGATTATCTGTATTATGGGATTACAGTCGTTTGGATCTTTTTCTCAGAGGCATGCAAGTGTTTTGGGAGATAAGCAGAAAGATCACACCACTCTGAGTGGTGAACTGATGCATGACAAGCTAGATGGGGTCAAGGCCCTTTGGGAGCAAGTGAACAATGCGGAAGCAAACAAACCATTATGGTCTGTCAGGAATGGTACAGAGGAGAAGGACCAGGGGATCTGAACAATATTCAACACTCACAAGAAAGGCAAGAAGGACACATAATCAGACTACTACCAGCACTAACAGAGTGAGAACTCTTGTCTGTCTGATGGGGATAGGATACAAAGTCCCATATTCACTGATACTGGTTCTTACCCTAACTCAACTCTGGAGAATACACAAGGGCTAGGATGGAAACAACATTTGTTCTATGGAGAATACACAAGGGCTAGGATGGAAACAACATTTGTTCTATGGAGAATACACAAGGGCTAGGATGAAAACAACATTTGTTCTATGGAGAATACACAAGGGCTAGGATGAAAACAACATTTGTTCTATGGAGAATACACAAGGACTGGGATAAAAACATTTGTTCTATGGAGAATACAAAAGCGCTGGAACTACAATAACACCTACCAAGCCAAAGTTCCACTGTTGCTAAACCAAATGTGAGTTTAATTGGTTCCAACTGCAGACGGCCATTGTCTAAGAGAAACTTCTTGGTCTCAGTGCCCTCAGGCTTCTCACAATAGATCTCTATTATTTCTGGGAAACAAACAAATAATAATCATGAAAAAGAAAGAATAACAAAAATATTTTTTGACAACATATATTCTCTATTATTTCAAAGGGGTAGAATTTGATTGTACACCTTTGTCTGTAATAATATAAAGGGTTTTGAATGAACACATTATTTTTAAAATTACTATAAAAAATAACAATTTGATATTGTACATTATTGTATAATACTTCAAAAGTGGCTAAAGTTCAACTTTTTCATTTGAATTAGTAACCAAATTAACAAAATAATATTTCTTTCTAAAACTATATTTGCATTTTTGTGTGCTGGTACATATCTTGTCCTCCCCATGTGGGATGCAATTTTTAGCTATTTCGAAGCCCCACCCTGGCTTTTGCCGGGGGCCCTGATTATAGCCAAGCCTGAAATATTTCCTAGTGGCTGAACCGGGTTTCCCGGGACCTCTCCACAGGTGATCCGCAGTTCAGAATGCTGGGCTCACCTTTAGGGAAACCCAGGTTCAAAACCTCAGTAAGGTGGTGGAACTTTTGAGTCGGGGAAAAAATTTAATTCTCATCTGCATTCTCTGTGGTGAACGCACTAGCGATACAAACCACAATCCTCAGACTCACCCCATCCTACATCACCCTTTTATGTGGTTAATACAGTCAGTAATGATAGGGTGCTGCAGTAATGATAGCGTGCTGCAGTAATGATAGGGTGCTGCAGTAATGATAGGGTGCTGCAGTAATGATAGGGTGCTGATAGTTTATATTTTTTTTTAAAACACACACAAAATCCTGAAAAATGAATCCAATGAAGAGAGAATTTCTCAAATAACTTACCTGCGTTGTTCATGTCCTGATACTTTGTGGGGAACACACATGTGGTTTTGTCTACGGAACTGTCAGAAAAATATGAGACATTCACAGATAAGCAACATGAATCAGAGGTGTTCAAAAAAAAGATAAACAAAAATGTTTATGCCATTGGGCATACAGTGCTAGATAAACATTTTCGTAGACTAATTGGATGGGTAATTTAATCAACATCACAATGGCCACCTTTACCTCCCAGGACACTTCCTGGCTGGGTCAGCCAGGGAACCCTAGGTCACCTATAAATAAAGGGCCCTGTTCTCTTCAGTAAAACTGAGGGTTGGGGTTTCAATTTCTAGAAACTAACTAGTTAAAAAAAAAAGCAAATCTCAAAGGAAGTAAGTCCATGCTCCCCAGCCAGATGGCACAGGAATGGTCACTCTCCCAGAGGTTCTGAAGCCAACAATAAAAGGTACTGAAGCCAGAACGCCCATCTGAAACCAAAATATCCGTCAAACATTTCTCTATTCTACATGTTACTGGAAGAAAAAGACTACATTTATTTTATCGCCCAGGTAAGGCTAAAACAAAATGGTTCATAACCCTGTAAGTATTCTCTGCAAGAATCCTTTAAAAAACATTTTTTTTTAAACAGGTCATTAATACATTTCCACATTTGAAATTTAAAAAAAAGAATTTTTGGTAAAACCTGACTGCGCAGCGACCGGGTGACGAACTCCTTGTGGTCCGGGTTCACGCCTGGGGGTAGGCATAAAAGCCACTTTCTCCCAGATTTACGGTATCTATCATGGAATCAAGGTCGAAGGGTTGCAATATCCATAGTACTGAGCTAAAGGGTTAACAACTCATGGTTTGTGGATATAACAATTTTTTTTTTTTAAATCTAGAATGAGAGCAGAGAATGCTTAACCACTCCGACGGCTGGTCCTCAAGTAAAAGCAGTATAGGATCTCTTTTCCATGCCTTCAGGTGTACTGTAAACTTGGTGCTAGGCCCAAGCTGTTTTGACAAATCAGCTCAAGATGGAATGCAGTGGATATCACACTGGCTGTTTTCACTTGGATGACATCACGCAAGATGGCATTGTGGCCACTGTCATTTACCACAGTAAGTTTTTTTTTTTTTTTAAACTAACAGAATGATTTTCTGTGGTTTTGCTGTTTGTAAGATCCTCGCTGATGCTACAGAGCTTTGTGCATTGGGCTGACATCCTCCTGTGTCAGCGTTTAATGTCATGTGTTTACATTCTGATTGGTAATAGCTCAAGATCCCAAGCAAAAACAAAACAAAAAACACACGGACACCACCCATCATCACACAAACCGGAATAGAAAGAGTTGTTAGCCTAAAAACACAGAGAAACATACCTATTGGTCAAGTCCCATGTGTGATGAAGATTATCTTTAAATGAACAATTACTTTACTTCACAAGTAATTCCTAGTACTCATTTTTGGCTGGGAGTCCATTCTCAATACACAAATCCAACCTGATACGGCTCCAAACAGATGACCACATATTCAGCAGGAAAGTATTCTAGCCAATGTTTTATCATAGCTTCCTGGTAAAAAAGTGTTGTAGCTTAAATACCTATGAATTCTAGTAAGCCCAGTTCAAATCTGTATAATTTATTAATGTCCAAAACATTGTATATGATGTAGCAACTTACGAGGACAACAGTTCCAACCGACGGTGTAGGGCATCAATACTGTCTTTCTGAAAAGTCACAAATTAATAATAATGTTAGAACAGAATGACCTCAAAGCTTTTTAGTTTTAGTCCATAAAAAAGGTTGTTACCTACTTATAAAAATAAAACTGGAGAGAAAAGATGGAGGCAGGCAGCAAGAGGTAAACAGTTAAACAACTGGAACTCATCCATTAAGAAATGGACGAACAGAGGTCTGTCACAGTGAACAATAAGATAATGAGATGGACGCTGTCATAGTGAACAATAAGAACATGAGATGGACGAACAGTGATCTGTCACAGTGAACAATTATTTCAAGAGGTAGAAGGACAGTGGTCTGTCACAGTGAACAATTATTTCAATAGGTAGAAGGACAGTGGTCTGTCACAGTGAACAATTATTTCAAGAGGTAGATGGACAGTGGTCTGTCACAGTGAACAATTATTTCAAGAGGTAGAAGGACAGTAGTCTGTCACAGTAAACAATTACATCAATAGGTAGATGAACAGTGGTCTGTGACGGTGAACAATTACATCAAGAGGTAGATGAACAGGGGTATGTCACAGTGAACAATTAGAACAAGAGGTAGATGAACAGGGGTATGTCACAGTGAACAATTACATCAAGAGGTAGATGAACAGGGGTATGTCACAGTGAACAATTAGATCAAGAGGTAGATGAACAGCAACCTGTCAAAGTGAACAATCAGTCTGAGAGACAAAGAGCCTTGTAGATCTAAAAAGGTTAATCTTCAGTGTGGAGCTGTCACCTGACTGATTGAGGAAAAATTGTTGCACTTGAGAAAACCCCTTACTAGGCACACAGGAAAATGTACTAACAGCATGACTCCTGATTCCCAGACAAGACGGAAATTCATTTCTCTCCTTTCCCATGACTGCTAGCAATTTCAGATCAACCAATCTTTAAAAAAAAGCATCAGAGATTTCTCTGTGGACACAGCATGGCTTGTAGGTACAACATCGGCCTCTAGAAGGTGAGTTAGGGATCCGTATTTTTTTTTTCTTCTCTTCCTCCAGGTTAGCTCATAAAGTGTTGGGGGAGATCTAACGATCTTGTGCACTCTGTTCTGTTCAGTAACCTTGATTTATCCACATAACTATCTCCTAGTCTTCTTGGGCACCAGTAAGTAGACAGAAAATCTTCTACTGGTTTGCAAGTCCCCATCGTAGATTCATTTTTAATGTTACACTTCCCCTCATGAACACTTATAGTATACCCTGCTTTGCATGATACTGAAAAAAGGCATGAAAGCATCCTTTATTTTTACGGCAAACAGAAAGAGAAGACTGTGCTTCAGAAAGAGCTTCATATATATTAGCGAAACCTCAACCGCTTACCTGAGACCTTGCCTCCTTCTCCAGAGCATCCCAGCTGGAATCAATGCTGTGTTGTGAGCTCCCAAGTCCAAAGTCGGACAGTGTGTCTTCCTTAACCTGTGCTAACTCATGTGCTTTCAGTGTGTGATTGAAATTCAGGATGTCAGCCCTTTCATCAGATACTGACTGAACAACTGATGGTGCTATATGTGAATACTCTGAAGAACCTGATGCTGTATGTAAGCATGTTGTAGATACTTCAGGGTTTATTTGAAACTGTGAACTCTTTAGATAGTCTGAGGTGTCTGATTCTGTTTGCAGAGAGCGATCTTTGGCTTCAAGTATTTTTGACTGTGCACTGGAAAGATAAACTGGGGAGGTTTCGGAAGAGATGGATTTTGTTTCAGATTTCACTTCGGTCAACAAATCTTCAGTCTGTGAAAAAGCTGACATGTTTGAAGTTTTAATACTGTAATAGGAGGAGGAGTAGGAGGGGAAACAGTCTGTGGAATCCGCTTCTGTCTGTGAAGATATAGATGTCCCATGAGGTGTTCTGTCTGTCAATAAACTGGAGAAATCCTCAGATGTATAAATGCTGTCAGTCTGTGAGGAAATGGAAGACATCTGAAGGGCACTGTCTGTCAATGAGTTAGAGAAATCTTCCAGGGTATGGACACTGTCAGTTTGTAAGGACCTCAAAGATTTTGGAAGCAACAAGTCTGAACTGGACAAAGCCGCAGGAGGTTCTTCACTGGCCTTTGAGCAAACGGATGTGGTCTGTAGTTTTGTTTCTGGGTGTAAATGAGCCAGTAAGGTTATTTTTTCAGTCTGTGATGAAACAGGTGTACTGGTAGACAGAACACTGATTTGATGACAATTATGTAGCATATTTGTGCTAGAACTCAAACTCTTCTGCATGTGGTTATTAGTTACATCTGTGTTTCCATAACCACCTTCTGGTCTTACAGCTTGGCTGGCGTCAGTGCTCTTTTCCCTCTCAGACCAAGAGTCTGAATACTTTCCTAGTTCAGTTTGAAGCTGTTCTTCTATAGATGAACTTGACTTTAGATGCTTCCCTGGTTCAGTCTGAAACTGTTTTTCCATAGATGAACTTAACTTCTGTTTCTCTGGTTCGAATTGAAGCTGTTCTTTCATAGATGAACTTGACTTAAGATGCTTTCTTGGTTCAGTCTCAAGCCGTTCTTCCACATATGAACTTGACATTAATGTTTGAGATTTTCTTCCCTGAAGATACTCAGAAGCTGAATTTTGCAAAGAAGAAGCTTGATCAATGCTGAACTTATCTGTTGGCTCCAGCTGATAGGAAGCGGCAAGCTTTGAATTGTCAAATGAAGGGACGTGGGAGGCAAAGGAGACTGTGTCAACTTGCAGCTGTTCTTCGTGAGATGGGTCACTAGCCAGATCTTTAATCAACTGTTTCTTGTGAATGGTGTCATCTGTGGAAGGCTTTGTCACAAGGGTCTCTAATTCTGTGCAAACAGAAATATAGTATGAATTATTATAAAAGCCTCTATTCCCCAATCAAGACATGCAGCAGTAAAAATGTATCACTGCTGAAGTAGTAAGTACAATTATATTTGAATATATTCTTCTTCTTCTTCGTTCACCGGCTGTGAATTCCGGCGGAAGGTCCCGGTTAATCGTCCGCTTGGACTTTTGGCTTTTACCTGGACCTGAGTTTTGCGTGTACAACCGTTTTGCTGTTCCCTGCCTCGCGGGCAGATGTACTCCGACTTCGATGGAAGATGTCAGGCTTATTTCTAGGATGACTATGGCCATTGTTTTGTGTGGGTCGAGACGTTGCCTGATTTGTGTGGTTTGCCGCCTTCTCCGCAGGTGTTGCCCCCGGAGTACCCTTTTGGGGCAGCCCCTTGCGGAACGGTTAGCCCTCAAGGAAAGGCAGGGGCAGATCATGGGCATTTCCTGCCATCCAAGGAGGCTTCCATGTTTGCAGAGCCGGCACATGGCGCTCTGGTTCTGGGCTCACCCAAGGAATCGTCACGTCCTGCATATGCCTGCTTAACCTCACAACCGTATTAGGCTTCCCGCTCGACAAGGGCTGCACCCTCCAGATATCAGCGGGGAGCAGTCCGCGGGTTCTGGACTTTTGTGACCACACGAATAGGTACATTCTTTTTCTTCGCACGTTGGATATCTTTGACGAGCCGTTAGCACAGCAGAATTTAACATCCTGCATCAGGCATATCGTTATCTGTTTGGTCCCAACACTCGGGCGAGTGGGGTCTTTGGGTGTGGACATTTGCTTTTTCCCATTCAATACGGTTTGTGACGGTTGGATTTTCAGCTTACTTGTGTGCCGTAAGATCTAGTTTAGTCGGACAATTTGGACTTAGCCAGCCAATGGGCTGTTGCTGTTATGGTGTACCTCAGCGCGGTGACGATGACACTGAGGGTTAACAGAGGATGTACATGGGTAGAATCTTGCTGCGAGATGCCATCCACAGGAGATGTTACTCGTCCGTGCTGCGGGTAAATCTCTAGGTCGAAGGTTGAGTCTCAGCAGAACAATGTTCTCTTCACTCCGCAATCTTTTAACCAAGGGTTGTAATTTTAGTTGTACGTTTGGCAAGCACTTTACTCATGTTCCTAATGAGTTCTGATAACCTTTTTCACCCATGCGTTTGGGGGCGGGCTGATGAGAGCCACAAGGACACGTCACCTCTGGGGGCCGCCAAACTTCGAGATCCCCTGACAGCTCTGTTAATGCTCATTTGAGACATTATCCGTGGCGCACGATGAGGACGTGCTGCAGGGGTTTTGCGTGATGTTCTGTAAAACCAGAACAGTGAAGGACTGGCGCCCTAATGATGTACAGAGTAACTCTTTATACACATCATGTTGGACTTAACTTTACCTCACGCCTGTGGCAGAAATCACCCGCCACATTTGAATATATAATATCTGATGGAACATATTATGTACAGATTAGAACAAGAATCATTACCTCCTGCCAGGCTGATACTGTAAATGATCATCAGTATCAGATCAGGTATGTGTTCTTGTCTGGCTTATACTATGTGGCCAAACCATCCAGATGCTTCTTGGTATGTGTGAAGTAGAATAGTGTTAAACAATTTCTTCAAGCCTCTGAGATGTGGTTTTAAAGAACAATCCTTAGAATTCCTTGGACAATCAATAAGAGCAACACTAATGTTTTGAAAAAGGCAGGAGCTCAAAGGCATCTTATCACAAATATCACAAAGAGACGGTCATCATATGTTGATCATGTTATGAGGAGAAGGAAACTGGAACATAATGTGACTAGAGGAAAGACCTGTGGAAAAAGAAATTGAGGAAAACAATACAAGAAGATTCCTGACAGACTTTTTGTCATGGCATGGAAGGAAAATAAAAAAGGGAAGGGGAGTGTCAGCATATGAACTAATACACGCTGCTGAAGATCCCAGATCTTGAACAGCATCATCACTCATGTCAAAGTCCGTTAACCCTTGCACTTTCCGAGATAAAACCTATTTCTAGCCTTACAGAGTTGTTTCCCATTAGGAAACATACAGTAATGAATGGGCTTATAGCTTCAAGTCACATTGATCATGAAACTTGTGATTCACCATTATAGCCAGCATCCAAAGTTACACTCACGGGGTGCAATTAAATAAACCAAACGTAACCATCAGCTGACCTTTAAATGTGTGATCGGGGTAGTCAGTGGGTTAATTGGCATTCTGTGCAAGGTGACTAAGTAAGTGTATACTGAAACTGGACGTGCTGGACCTAGTTGTAAACTATGAATGAACAAACAAACAAACTTTAAGGGTTTAAGAATTGGGATTGCAGACATGTCCAACATTCTCCCCCCTTACATAGTTATTCATTCACACATCATTTCATAGGTGTAAACAAACATTTTCAACAACATTCAAGTCTTAATTAAACTCACTGGAATGTGCTCTTATTTTACTTATTTTTTTTCAAGTATAGTAATAAATCTATTCCAATAATGTAATAGTATCAATCTAATATAAATGCTCCATCTTGTAACACCAAGATCACAATATTTAAAATACTGATATGACGAAATGTTCTATTTCGATCTGAAACCTGGAGTAAAATTAAAAGAGAGAAGGCCTTATTATAAAATTCTAAGAAAATCTTTGGACCAATCAACAATGCAAACAGCAGAGAATGGAGAGGGAGAAGCAACAACAATCATCATTTTTTTTGTTTAAATCGCCACTAATCACTGACATCTGAGGACTTATAGACTGCACATAGGGGCACATACAGAGAATGAAATGGCAGACATGGAAAAACAACTGTACACAAAAGAGCTGAATGGGAGTAGATCAGGAGGCAGACCAAGAAGACAGTGGAGAGATAAAAAACATGTAGACCTACGGTGCTTGGAGTTACCTCAGTGCAAAGAGAAGGCAAATCCCAGAGATAAATGGAAGTGGCAATGAATCTCAAGGGCTCAGGATGCTTAAAAAGAGAAGATAATTACCTAATGAAGAATCTCTGACTGTTGATAATGCAAACGGAGTCGGGTCATCTGATGATGCTGTGTGAGCCATCTGCCGCTCATGTCTGCCACTCTGCTCACTTGGGTCACTCAAGGTCTTCAGATGATGTGGTCCAGTCACCCCCGGTTCAGGTGAGACCAGGCTGGAGCTCTTTGTGTGCACTGAGGGTGTTCCTCTAATGTTGTTATTGTGGTGGCTGTGTCTTGAATGATGGTGGGAACCTGTATATAACCAAACCACAAGTTTTACTGAATACTTGTCTCCAAGTGCATCTGCCTGAGAGGCGAGGAACCAAGAGTCTGCACAAAAAAAGCCAGACCTGCCCAAAAAAAAAAAAAAGAGAGATGAGCATGCTATATTCAAGTTCTGAAACAAGACTTAAGTCCAGAAGTGGATGAACAACTACATCTTTTTGTTGGAGTTTACAACTACCGAATGTGAAGAATAAGAGGAGAAAATACTGAATGAGTATTATTGTTCTAAGTGGCACAGTGGTTAAACTATTTGCCTTGTGATCTAGAGGCTCTGTGGGTTTAATCTAACAATACTGTCCTTCAGTCTACAAAGTATTTCAGAGATCATAGGAGGTTGTTACTGGAGCTACAGAGTAGTAAGCATTGTGCAATGCTCTTGACTGACGCACAGCCAGCCATATTGAAGACACAGACCAAGTCATAATAGATTAATCGGTGTGGGTCCTGTGGTCCCATCTTTGGAGAAAAAACAACAATAACAGACCCACTGCCTCACAGCAATCATGTCACAAGAAGCAACTAATCAGGGTTTAACTGAAATATGACTTGAAGAGTGAAAAGGTGCTAACATCGCAGCCTAGATGTAAATTACACCTTTTCAAGGTGAAATTAGAAAACATATATAAAATTGGGCACAACGAAATTAACATCAAATCAGCACTGCTGTATGGAGCTG